CGGCGGAGGCGTCGGCAATGGGCCATTGGACCACTTGGCAGTGAGGCGGCGGCTGGGATCTGGAAGCATCAGAGGCGGCTGGCGTGTGGCTAGGGTTTAGAAACCCTAGCTGAAACCTTACTTTGTTTAGGGTTTCTGGTTGGCTGGACCGGTTCTAGTTGGATTGTAACTGGGCCGGTCCAGTTGTAATTATTTATTAAATAATAATAATAATAATATATAAATATAATAATAATAAATACTAATAATAATAATAATAATAATAATAATAATAATAATAAGCTAATAATAATAATAATACTAATAATAATAATAATAATAATAATAATAAAATGGATAAAAAATATTATCTTCAATAGCAGCTAAACATGAACAGGGATTTCGACTCCTACTTTTCTTCTCCTTTAAATGTTAAATCGAATGCATGGGAAATAATAACCAATTAATTGTTTCTTTGCTTTTGTTATAGAAAATTAGGATAAGGTGCTTGACTTCCTTGACTACCAGCAACCCTGAACAGTTTATGTGCCTATGACCAAAGTACCAAACCCAGAAACCAACTACAAAATATTAGTGTCTATATATAAAATCATGTGTGAATTCAACTACGTCTCAGATTATAACTACTGTAGTTTTGATTGCATAATAGTTGTTGTCTGGTTGGTTTCATTCAAACAGTTTTTGAAGAATGATTCCGGGAACATTAATCATTTTTATAAAAGAAAAATATGATATGTAAAATATTTGCTGCTGTTTGATAAATATTTAAAAATTACTCATTATAAATAGTAAATACAATAAATAATATTATTCAACGTAATATTTTTAAGATGTTACAATGATCAGTCAACATTCCAAATCAAAGTTGGCTAACGAAATGCGGCATCCAATACATTCAACTTAACATTCTCTAGATTGCAGCTAAGCTTCAAACAAGTTATTCAGGCTTCAACTTTTCTACTGAAAAAAGGAAGAAGAAACAGAGCGCACCCGTCGCAGAAAGTCCGCACGAGAATTGAGTTTACATATACCTTGGCAATTATATGACAATGAAGACAAAAAATAAAAAAATATATACATATATTTATATATGTGATAGATGTTTTAAGCTAATTTAGTTTTTTAAGAGCTACTACTTTGAGATGTGCTCAAAAGTTCCTCCAAGTATTCAGATCCTAAATCTTCCAACTCCACCACATTATTCTTGGCCTGCAACGGCGGCTGCTTCTTTTTATTTCTCTTGTCCATCGATTTCCTTTGTAAATAATTCCTCTGCTTTAATTCTATGGCCGGTGAGGTACCTTCCTTGCAATAGTAATTCATGTTCCGAAGAGACTCCCGGACTCTTTCGATGGGGAAATTGAGCACTGCCTTCGGACCCTGTGTGGCTAAAGCCGCTTGATCATAAGCTAAAGCAGCTGCCTCTGCACCGTCGAATGTTCCGAGCCAAACCCGAATGCCATGCCTCGTCGAATCCCTTATCTCCGCCGCGTATTTTCCCCATGGTCGCTTCCTAACACCGCGATATGATGTTTCCTTCTTGGGGACTTGTTTTTCTTCTCCTTCGTGAAGTGATCCATTGGAAGCAGATTCTGAAGATTCTCTTGAGCCATCACCATGAGAAAGAGAAGGCAAATTTTTGGGGTTTAGGATGTTAAATGAAAGGGATTCTTGGTCGTTATTTAATGAGAAACATCGAAGCAAACCTTGTGGTTGTGGAGAATTTAGGGAGGAAGGATCCATAATTTCGAGGGACAAGCTCAACTTCTCTCTGGCTTTATGAATTATAAGTTGCTTTAGTTAGGAGCTCACCTTCGTATTTGTATAATTGTATTGGTTTATATATATATAAACCACAAACGACAATCTCTCATGCAGATGTCATATATTATAATGACGACAACTAATATATTATGATGGTTTCATTTCCATATACAGCAAATTCTCATGAACAAGCTGATGACCTGATTTTTTTTCTAAAATAAATTTTGTGCTGATTAGAAAATGTTGGTACTCGCCCAAAATTTATGTATGGGTAAATTGCAAGGCTTAATTATAAAATAAGTCTCTAAACTATACCAAATTTTCACTAATAGGTGCTTAAAGTATTTTTTGATTTAACTCGGTGTCTAATGCTACAAACATTACCATTTTAAGTGCTCGGGCAGTCAACGACGTTAATTTCATCTGTTAAGTGAAACATGTCACAATCTAGTAATTTTAAAAAATTATATAAAATTTAAAAAATAAAATTATATTTTTTTTGAAAATCACAAAAATTTGAAATAACCTCACAACTTTAAAAACCTTCATTTGAACCCACATCAGTCGCCGCCCTTTGCCTTCGATGAAACTCGACCTAGCCTCACCTCCCCTTGGCGACCAAAACCCCATGAAATTGTGATCGATCAACGGTGAATTGATGTTTTATATCCCTTGAACCCTATGATGAAAATCGCAATTCCAAGTGACTCCAAAACAATTACGACGACGTATGATTAGGAGGATGGCAAGGGCTATGTCAATAGTGGTGGTCGTGACCGAAAAGGGCGGCGGGGGTTAAAGTTAGGATTTAGGGATTTTGGGTTTTTTTGTAATTTAAGAGAAACCAGGGTTTTTTTTACAAATATAATAATATTTTTTAAAAAATAATTTTAAAATATCAGATTATGACATGTGTTACTTAACGAAGAAAATTAACTTCGTTGACAGCCCGGGCACCTAAAATGATAAAGTTTGTAATGTTAGCCACTGATATGAGTCAAAAAATAATTTAGACACTTATATGTGAAAAGCGCTATAGTTTAAACACTTATTTTGTAATAAAGCCTAATTTCAAAGGTGACTCGAATTCAGCTAGTTTTGGAAAGAATTTATAATGAGCATATTCAAGCAGTGGGCTATACCGAAAGAAAGCTGGAAACAAAATCCTAGACCCATCAAGGCATTCGACCATTGTCTTGACAAATGACCCACCTCCCATTTTGGACCACAGTCCCAATTAGAAATTATGTATGACCAGACAAAGGTAATGAAGCATATCAGACCAACCCAATTACTTTGGAACAATCAATTGACCAGGGTTTTTCAGGATTTGCTTAATCTCGTTGACAATTGAAGGTGAACCTTTGTCAAAGTGAATAAGAAGAGTCCAATACTTGTCCATTTGGTGCTAGTTTTCTGAACAAAATTCAAATCATCAAACATATATACATACACGTAATCATAATGATTCTAAAAGATGAGACTAGAATAAACCATATCGGCCAAAATTATGCATCTATAACGTAACAATTTTAATATAGTTTAGAAAAATCATTCAACAAGTTTGGTGAAAATTTAGAAGACACTTCAGCTCTATGACCATCTTCCTAAACAATACCCTCTCATGTGCATATTTGCAATCAGATCAAGCATTGAACATGCTCCTCAACTCTTCTAAACAATAACAGTCACCAACAAACGTAAAGTTTCAAGAAAAATTCAACTAGAATCTTCCATCAAAAACTATACGGCCAACAAATACTAAACAACTGGAGACCAATCGAGCTTAATGTCACAATTGAATCATGGATATTGAAGGAAATTATTAATATAAGATCATCATTGATCTCTTATTAGCTACATTCCCATCACTTTCTTCTATGTCTATTTTTGAACTCTTGCTGGCTCCATTCCCATGTCCTGCATTCCCATCACTTTCTTCTATGTCTATTTAGTGTCCATAACTTGAAACTTGAAAGCTATTTGGTGAAATCCCAAATTACGTCTGCATTTTTATTTCCATAACTTGAACGAACCCCTTGGGACATGCTTCTTCTCTCATCCTTCCAAATTGTGGATTTATGTACAATTTTTTTAAATGATAGACAAACGATCGATTGGTCAATCATGTTCCAATATCGTCAAATAATTACAATTTATTTTTTCAAATGAATCAAATTAAATTTCTGTAGTAGAGATAATAGAAATTAATATTTGGGTAATCATTGAATTACAAATTGATAATATTAATATTTGCTTTATAATTTTTTAAATTTTAAGGATAAAAATAATGGTATAATTTACCCATAATTTAATCACAATGGATATTATCCCTTCATATATTTTTTTCTTGGGAAATTTGTAACAGTGAAAAAGCATTAAGGAAAGACAGCTATTTGCAAAGTCTAAAGGTGAAATCTTCAAAATTCAAATGAATAAGCTAAGCACTACACTATAGAGCCGCCAAACGAAAGAAACTCGTCATGCATGCATCCTGCCAATATTCCCCCCACTAAAACTTTGAGAAACATTATGTAATTGATAACGTGGAAATAAAGTAAAGCGAAATAAACTTTATTATCATGATTCAGATATTGTTTTCATTACCTGCTCAAACAACATGCAACGTCTTCGACTCATGTTCTTCATTACATCCGAGGAAGTCTCTTAGTTAGGGTCGGGATGGATCGAGGGATGGTGGGAATAGTTGTTTTCTTGAAATTTTAAAATTATTATATATTTTAGATTTTTATGTGTTTTTATTGATAATATATTTTTGTTCCCTTGAAATTCAAGTTTGCCCCCTAGAATTTTAAGAGTTTAAGTTCTCCCCTAACATAGAATCATGTGTTTGTCCCTGGTTAGGGTTGTAAAAGACGAGCTACTTGATATTCGACTCGAAAAGCTCACGATTAATATATATATATATATATATATATATATTTAAATTAAATTATTAATAATATTGATAATTATATGTTCTTTTAATATATATATAATAATAATAATAATAATTATTATTATTATTATTATTATTATATGTTTTTCATGTACTATAAAATTCATCTGTATTCCTAGCGAACGAAATTGAACATATTCCAGCCGTCAAGAATGACCCAGCGTTTTCGTCATGGGGAATAAAGGGCTATTGACCCTCTTTTGAACCATCACGGTCCATGCCATATATATAAAGCGCTATCCAATTCCATTTTCCCAAACATTCCTTGGTCATTGCATACACTTGAAACAAGAACACCAACAAAACAATGGAAGCATCTCAAGGAGGGGAAAACAGAGTGAACAGCAATGGGGAGGTTCGATACAGGGGAATTCGCCGGAGGCCATGGGGGAAGTTTGCGGCGGAGATACGTGATCCGAAGAGGAATGGAGCTCGACTGTGGCTCGGAACTTTCGAGACTGCTGAAGAGGCGGCAAGGGCGTATGACAGGGCTGCTTTTGCATTCCGGGGTCACTCTGCGATCCTCAATTTCCCGAATGAGTACCAATATCAGACCCCATCCTTTGCACCATCTTCAGCCTCTTCATCTCGAAGGAACCCCCAAAGAGAAGGGGGAAGTGAAGTCATTGAGTTTGAGTACCTCGACAACAAGTTGTTGGAGGATCTACTTGATGCACAAGATAACAGGCATGGCCTGTAAATTATGAAGCTTTGGATTAGTTAACGATAGAAATAATTTACTTGTATGTTTTCCTTATTTTCCGTTGTAAACAAGGGAGATTTCAATTAATTCATTATGTTTTTTCATTCTTTTTATTGGAATTGCAATTGTATTGAAAAGTTCATGCAGTAGGAAGTGGCGGCTCCGTAAGGTCAAAATCACGTGCTAAACGAACTAAAACGAATCCTTAAAATGGATATCCAAAACTAGACCAAAACAGCCGAGTCAACTTGGAGTCGTCATATTGGGCCAAACAAAGTTTGACAAATAAATCATAAAATTTCCAGGGCTCAAGAAATATATAACAAAGAACATACTGAAAATGCTTCATTCATTCTGGGTTTCATTTATTTTCAAAATCAAGAAGCTCCTCCAGCAATTTGTCGTCTAAATACTCCAGCTCCAGCACTTGTCTTTCATGATCCTTTTTGCATTCCACATGTTCAAACAAAAAAGATGATGATGATGAAGACCAAGACGAAGAAGATGATGAAGAAGAAGGGGTAGCCGCAGGGGGAGAATTTAATCCCCTAGGTGAAATGATATGTTCATCTGGGAAATTGAGAATAGCGGAGGGACCCCTCATAAAGAAAGCAGCTCCGTCGTAAGCACGAGCAGCCTCCTCTGCTGTCTCAAAAGTTCCAAGCCACACCCGAGGTCCACCCCGCATCGTTGAGTCCCTAATCTCAGCCCCGTATTTCCCCCAAGGCCGCCTCCTTACGCCTCTGTATCGAACACCGGACTCCGCCTCCCCCGCTTTCTTCTTATTTTGCTGTTCCATTGGCGTGGTCTGAGGTTGAAACAGAGCATCAGCCTCACTTCGACATTTATACTAGGCGGCAAACGCCATATAAACAAATGGGAAGATTTAACAATAAGTCAATAACAGCAATGTTTAGGATTAAACAATTGTACGTCTCTTTGCTTAGCATAAGTGCCGTGAGCGGTGATATCAATTCATTACGTTGGCTCAACTAATCGTCATCTGGGTGACATATTCTTCTAGTTATGGTTGGGTTTTATTTAAATAAATAAGATGTAGTAGATCTTTAGAGACTCTGAATCTGGTTGATATTTGTTCATTAAAATACTCTTCCAAGGTGAGATCAGATAGATGATTCGTTTGATGATAATCGTCATGCTTTCACGTAGGGGGTGATGTGATTTGATTGCATCCACATGTTTGACCATCATGGTTATGCCAGCAATCCCTTATGTCACCACGATGATCAATTGAAGCATAACAACATAATCAAAGTTCGATGGTGAAATATAATTTTTATATCGGATAATCAAAATAAAAACTAAGTAACTAAATATATAATTTAACCTAATAAGAAAAAGGTTCTGATCCAACATATTTTTTGAGTTTTTCGGATAATTTTATTTCGAGTGTCCTACATAACGTTAGTTTAAATTTATTTGATCTTATCCCTAATTTCATATGTTTTATTTTGGTGTAATGTCATCCATTTATCCCGTGAATTATATTTATTGTAATCTCTCATGATTTTGATACGTTTGAATGAGTCTTTGACAAATTTGATTTTTAAATGAATGCTAAAATTGATTTTTAATGACGATTTAGAATAATTTGAGTGATGTATCGTATTAGATCATGAAAATAAAGTATATATTTTTCTAAAATCTTTATATAGCTAGAAAAAAGAACTTAAACAATGACGTGAAAAAATTGATCAAATATTAACAAGTGATAATTTTACTTCTATTGAAATTGATAATTATGTTTTTATTAAATTGATTGGCGATAACTGTGTGATTATATATATTAATGACATACTTATTTTTTAATAAATATTATGAGTTGTCACTTAAAAGATATAAATATCTTACTTTAAATTTTGAAATGAAAAAATATGGGAGAAGCAAATGTTATATTAAGAATTAAAATCATAGGGAAAGGTAGTAGTATAATGATAACACAAGACTGGCTTGTTATTCTTGTTACTTTTGGTTTTGTATTTCAGCTAATATATGTACTCTTTTCCTCCAATTTGAATATTTAAATCAATTAACAATAAGTTTAATATTTGATCAAAATATGTTTTCAAACATACAGATATTAAAATGTTACTTTTATAACAGAGAGACAAAAACAAACTTTTACGTATAATATAAAACTTCTAATAAAGTTTAAGCCAAATATTCCTTTTATTGTGCATAACTCCCTAAAGTGTTTTTATCATTGTACTTTAATGATTCAGATCAAACTTCATCAAATTTAGATTTGCAATGAATAAATTTAATCAAAACAAAATTTCCATTAAAATATTTTATTGTTTTAGTTGCATGTGACAATATTCTTACTCCGGTGACACAAGATCCAATACTTAAGCAACACCAAAATTCTGACGGGTAAACTATACGGGTGACCATTGATGTTTTGATTTGATTAATTATGTAACATCCGCAATACCGGGTTAGTGACCAAATTGTAAAGTTTCAGAATTTGATGACTAAAGTAGAAGAATGAAATAATTCAATGATTATTTGAATATATAATGAAGGTTATTTGGTAATTAAAGGAAATTAAGGGTATTATGGTCTTTTCCTTTAAAAGATATTCTTCCCCCTTTTATAAGAGTGAAAAACGTGGGAAATTTGAGAAACATCCAGAGTTCTCTTCTCCTTTCTTCTTCTTCATACGTGGGAGAGCAAGGCAAAGGTAAGTTTAATTTCAGTTGGTTAATTCTTGAGTTTTAAGCTTAGTTTTGATTCTTTGGGTATTAAATAAGCTTAAGGAAAGCTTATATGGGATTTAAACAATAAGATAAAGGAATTATGAAGGAATTTGCAATATGAGTTTTAAGATGAAATTTTGATATGGTATGATTGTTGAAGTTTTATGGATGAATTTGACTTGTCATCAATCTAATTAAGAAGTATGAAGTGTTAGAATTGGAATTAGAACACATTGAAAATTTGGTATGATTCTTGAATCTCATATGGAAGATAGGATTTTAAGGTTTAAGATGAAATAAATGAATATAGATTTTAAGTATGTGTACTAGAGTTACGAATGAAAAGGGGATGAGATATGAAGTGTTTGAGAGGAAATGAAGTAATTTTCGAGTTAAAAATATGATTTCTGGGCAAGGGGAATCGGTACCCATTCAAGGGGAACCGATACCCCTTCAAACGAACAAAAATTTCCAGAATGTCATGAGGGAATCGATACCCCCTCAGTAGGGAACCGATTCCCCTAAAGGAAAAATGTGAATATTGGTTTAATAAGTTCGTTTAAGTTGCTATATCCAATTACAAGGTGTAGGTATCTAATGATTGCCTCAAAATATACATTTATGTAGATTCTGCGCGTAAAGCAATTCCGGAACATTTGGCAAGTAAGATCGATCAAGGGAAGATAAGAGATTGGAATGGACTAGTGAGGCAAGGTGAGTGCATACTAGTGATATGTAGTGTTTAATGGAAATAAGACTTGCGATGAGTCTATTTCCTAGAGTAATATGCATGAAGTCATGGACATGATTATGTGTGGTTATAATTATATGTGATTATCTGTATTACATTGATTGTATGTATGCATGACTAAAGATAATGATATGCTTTGTATATGCTATATGATGTATGTAAGACTTTAATATGTAATAATGGAAGAACATGAGATAAGTTATATGATAGAGTCATAAGAAATGAAATGAACATGAGAGAATAAGATAATCAAGTATAAGTTATAGGATATGGTATAAGTGATTATACGAGAAATGTTAGGAGACTCCAAGAGAATAGTATGAATTCGAGGGCATAAATAAGGATACATAAGTAATATAGGGAAGATTGATAAATTAAAGGAAAATATGATTTATGTATTATAGTGAAGAGCTACAAAGTTTTATTAAAGAGTATTGTGGAAGTCATGAGAAATTGAACTAAATAAATAGATGGTTTATTTGAATAAAAAGGGGAAAATGATATAAAATAAGTTATGAAATTATAGGAATATAGAAGATAAGTCGAGAGATGTAGGGAAATAGAAATAGATGTTATTAAGAGTCATAGGAGAACAATATATGTAATATGATAATGAATATAAGACTATGTGGATACATGGTTATGAGATAAAATATGTAATAATAGGAAATATGATGAAAGTGAGTTTATAAGAAGTGATATGAACTAGGTAAACATGGGTAACAATATGCATAATGGAAACATGAGTTGGACAAGTACCTAGTGGTATGATTTATTATGAGAATTAGTATAATGGAGCTATATGAAAAGATTATAATGAATATATGAAATTGAATTAAGTAAAGAGATTAAATTAGTACCTAAATAAAAATACTATTAAATGACATATGTTTATAAATACAACATAATTTATAATCTAAGGGAATACAAAGAAATAGAGCATAAGGTATAATATGATATCCGTTATATATATCTATATGATATATGTCACAGGTAATATGAAAGAACTCTGAAAATTGATATAAGCTAGGAGAAAGTGTTCTATGTGTTATATGAAGCATATATGATCATATGTGAACAAGATATGATATGTATGTTTATATGAATATCTGAGAAATGATCTAAGTTATATGATATGATATGTGAAATGATAAGTATAAAAGAAAATGCCCATGTTATGTGTCTTGAGAGCTAGGGGTATAGTTGGCATGCCAAGAGTAGAGGGTCTACGCGGTCCTTCGGGACAATATTCTACGTGGTCCTTCGGGACAATATTCTACGCGGTCCTTCGGGATATATATATATTCTTTGGAACATGTGTGAAGTCTGGTGAGACACATATATGATCCCTAGCATATGTATATGATTCTTAAGGAATTCTATGTGGTCCTTATGGACATCATATATGGCACTACGGTGCAATTCTACGCGGCACTTCGGTGCATTTATACGAGCTGTGGTGACAGCATAGTGCACAACCTCACAATACTCAGATACCTTAGGTTCTTAATATGATATCATGGGCCAATAAACTCATTAATACAAATTCATGAATGTTAAAGCAATATGCTTACAGGTATGGATATTGGTGATATGAGAACAATGTATGTGATATATGTATATGATTTGTGATATGATGTGTGCATGACATGATATATCTGTGATAGGGGTAATGGTATCTGTTACATAATATGCACGAATATATGTTGATGTATATGTAAATGAGTTGTAGAATTGATAGTATAAAACAGTCATGCATGATTAGTGGGTATGAATTCCATTAGATGTGTTTTCTTTATGCCTCACTAAGTCTTCGACTTAGCGTGTGATTGTTTCACACGTAGGTTTCGAGAAGAGTAAAGAGTAATGCGGAGCAAGACATGTCAGTTTTCCTTACCAAATGTCAGATCAGAAAATATAGGTACTGTATATAGAGTGTAGTTGGCATGTAGTCTAAAGACATAAATTGTATGAACTCTGATATATATTTTGTAAACGTTTTGAATAAGTTAAATGTTATCAAAGTTTTTAAATTACTCACTATTTTATACGAATAAATGTTTGAAAAGTCAATGTGACACTTCGGACTCGTATCCGGATCGGATACGGGTTGGGGGTGTTACAAATTATATCACCCAACTATTTAAATACTTCAATCAAGTAATTGGTTGTTGATTTTTAAAGGAAGTGGTGACTTGTCAGTTAATAAAATTGGTGTAATTATATATTTAGTCTTTAATATTTACACATTCTATCAATTTAGTCACTATTTTAATTTAATTAAATAAATTTAACCTTCCGATCCATAAGTGCCACGTGTCAGTAGAT